ATAACAATGTCGTTTTCAAGACATGACATCTACTTGGTAAATAGCAGCACATAACTGTAACAAATATCATTTTATTTGTTTTTCATTTATAGGAATCTTATTGTCAGGGCTTCTAAAGACTTGTCTGAAGAAGTGAGTTGAGTAGTGGCTAATTTTTTGCTTTGGATCAACTTGTAGAACTGATTTGGCATGTAACTCCCTGCTGGTTTAGATCTGGTGAGAGAAACAATAGATGCCCATGGTAAGGCAGCTGGAGGGAGGAGGGTGGCACCTCTTTTCACCACCAACAGCTACACTCAGCTTAATATTAAATGAAACTGTACCTGTTATAGCCGCTTCAGTGTTTGGACAACTGAGGCTGTTCTGTTACTAATGGATCTTTGCTGCCTCTAGAACTGATTTATTCCTTTCCTTATCCCTGTTGACACACAGTGGGGACTCACCGTCTATATATCTTCTCAGCTGTTCTGTGAATAATTGGAAATTGAAAAAGCCTTTTGGGGATCTGCTCTGTCAGAGAATAGGAAACATCTCTATACCACCAGTAATTGTCTATAGCCCTGTGTTCCTAGTAACATGCTCTAGCTCAGTGCTCCTGGTATTTTTCCACTGTTCCAGGCTTTTTGTTGATTTCTTTTTTTCTTCCCTACTGGATGTTAAGATATGCTTTTTTCTTCTTTTACGGGTGAAGCCTGCACAGTGCTCTCTGAAGCATAGCAAGAAAGGTTGTGGGGGCTGGTGCAAGGGTGGACTTGAAGAAGAGGACGTGCCGTGTTCTTGTTCAGAAATAGGATCATAAAGAAAGGAGATTACCCATAATGTTTCTTCATGGAGAATATGGGGGAAAGGAACAGAAGATGGAATACAAGACAATGGTAACCTGTGTACAACCTAGCTTCCTGACAAATTAACTCATTTTTCCACGTTGAGGATGATCCATTTATTTCGGCAGTCTTTCTATTAGATCATCGAGAATCACTTACCTCTCTCTTTTCCAAGATTTATGTTTTCAGTATACCTTCTGTACAGGAAATTTCAAAAATTTCCTAGCAGAAATATCCTGCTGGCAGTTGATAATCTGTCCTGCTAGTCTTGTCAACCGTGACAGTTGGGAAAATGGGCATCCAAACTTTACTCATATCTTGACTTCTGTAGTGCAATTGTGTGTAATCATACTTGGAATTTTATACAGTGGTACTTAGACTGCTTGTTTTAATAAGATAAAATAGCTTTCTAAGTAGCTATGTCCTTTTAAGGACACTTATAATAGAGCCTTGAATCATGAGTGCTTTGGATTTTTTTTCTTAAACCAGGATTCCTTCAGTCATACCAACAGACACAGTTAAGCAGTCTCTAAAATGTTGTGGTGGTGCTTTGTAACATCAGAAGTAGGGAGGAGAAAAGCCAGACTGGATCAAGAGCAAGCAGGCATTAAATTTGGAAGGTGCAGCAGCAGCCTGTGTGGTGACTGGCATGGATCCAGTACTTGTTCACAAAGTCATGCTGTTGTAGGAGAGGGGTTAGGTGCCTTGGGCGGTTTACTATGTAGACCTGTGCAGTCTTCAGGATAATGCTTCCTGTAAATGTTTTGGACTTCTGCTTCTCGTACAGGCATTCCAGCATAATTGTGAAAAAGCTGTTTAGCCTGTTGTACTGAATTATGTGGATTTGTCTCTTAAGCCATACATTAATAGTACTGCTGCAGCAGAGAACAGCCTCTGAAGGATACCCTCTCCCAGACCCCCCAAAAGAAACCTGATTCCCCCTTTAAAGAAAAGTAGAGGTCCATTGGTCTGTCAGATGTTACTCCCTTTCTGATTGTTTTTTATTTACGCTTGTTCCTTTTATGAAAGTAACTTGTTCCTTTTACATAGCTACAAAACCAATAATCAAATGGCAAGTTGAGACTAAATCAAAAACATTCACCTTCTAGTGAGACTTAAGTCTGGAGAATTGGTTCCTTGAACTTCGAGTAGCAAGGGCTTTCTTCGCTTGTCAGGGATGGGCGTATTCTTGTATGTGAAAAACTGGAGCACTTCCCTGATTCTTCTAGTACCTCTTGCTGATCTTGCCTTGATACTGGATACCTTGGGGAAGTTATGAAAGTCTGACTCTTATTTTTAACTACTTTTTTCTACCTTGGTACTGCTTCTAGAAGCATTTCAAGTAAAACTGGGCCTGTTCAGCCTTCCATCTTCACAGAGTTAGATGTATTTTTGCACAGGCTCCTTCAGTGTTCGGAGTGTTTGTTTGGTTTTTTTAATTCCTTTTATGGTTTTTTGTTTGTTTGTGTTGTTGTGGGTTTTTTTTTTTTTTTTGTAATACTGTAAACTTTTCACCGTTCCTGACGATTAGTCTACAGCCTCCCTGCAGGAGATGAGCAATTCAGAAACTAGGTAATATATAATGAAGACATTTCAACCCAAATGGATGGTGAGGTGAAGGTTAATAATGATATTTCATTCAGGAAAACAGGAGTGGATTGGGAGTGTTACTGTGTTTGAGTGTGTTAATGCTTTCCAGGCTCTCTACTCCCTCTTGGTGACCTTGCTTTGATGCTTGAGGTCTGAAGTTGCACTTACCACGGTAACTGATTGCTTGCTAGTAGCCAGAATGATTAATGTCAGGTTCATCTGTGTATGTTGGAGAATGGGACTTGAAAAATGACTTGTAATGTGCCGAATGTGATTGATGTGCTCTGTGACATCCTTGGTAATGCTTGTTCTTACAGATGCTGCTGGTACCTCATTTGCCCTATGCGGTCAATTGTCTGCTACTAGATTCACTTCCGGCACCTCCCAGTTAGTAGTTTGCCTTCCCAGTTAATTCTGAGTTTGGAGCATAATTAGTAGGCTGAAAATGTTTGCTTTCTCTACAGAATGGCTATTCCAGCTGTTCTAATACCATTCCAGTGTCACCTGCTGTCTGTGTCCACAAAACCCCAGGTGCTTTCATGAAAGGTTATGGAATTAATCAAGTCAGGAAAAGCTTTTAGTTCTTGATAGAATTTCTGGTTTATTTTCAGCAGATTCTGTACCATTCTATAAGAGACAATAAAAATAACGTTCTTAAACAGAATGCGACCAACAGTTGTCAAAGAATTTTTACTGGACTTTGATGCAAAGTTCTTAATGTTAGTCAGCAAGATAATCTGATAAAGGTGATAATGAATGTATCAGATAGATAGACACCAAGAAGAAGGAAAGAGAGTAAGTGAAATTTTCCAACTGTTTCATTAAATAATTACACAAACTTGATCATGATACAGTCCAACATAAATATCTTTAGCTGTTCAGAAATCCAGCTATAATATTGGGATTCTGAAGGATGTATAAACTGAGCCTTCTCATGTGGTGCTTCTAGAGTGTACATTTTAAAATGCTTTTACAATGCATAGGATTGAGTTACTCATCCATTCTATAAAAAGAGAGGGAACACAAGCAGAAGGAAATGGGACATGCATTTTTGAAGACTGTTTCTGCCTTTCTCTTTGTTTATATGTCAAATGAATTTTCATGAAATAACAATTCCTGTAGTTGTGGTCTTAAAACAGATACTAAATATTGCAAGAATTGTGATGAACTGTGACAGCTGAGTTTTGCATTTAGATTTTAAAATAGCTTGTATATAAAGAAGCTGTATAATTTTGAAATTTGATGTGCTGTGTAGCGAATGGAAAAGTAGAAGAACCAGCTGTTGACAGGGAATTCAGAATGGTGAACTTCTCATTGGTAGTTACATGGGAGATGCTCTTCAGTTTCAGATTTGAATTGCTCCTTAGTGTTCTTTGAATGCTAGACTGTTTAGTGTATTGTTTTGGCAGCATGTCCTGACACTTAACTGGAGCATGTCAGCAGTTTTGGCACTAGACTGCTAGGGAAAAGACTTCATGTAGCTGGATCATTTCAAAGCTTTAGTGTTTAAGCAGTCATTACACTTTTGATATGAAACGGGTTGCATGAATAGAGTACTGTTCAAGTTTTCAAGTTCCTGGAATGCACTGAATAAAATACCTAATTTTGGTGTAAATATTGAGTGTTGTATTCTTGCCTTCTGTATTGTAAAGTCATCAATTTCTTAGTGTCAGTGAACTTTTGAGAGAAAGAAGTCTGCCAGAATTCAGATCCTACCAGCCAAGTAGGGATTACTATTTTTTTTCCCTTGAGAACTTTGTGCAAAAGCACATCTTACCCAATTAACCTCTAGTGTTTTCACTTCTAAGAAAATGGACTTCATTTTAACTTCAAATTTGTGTTGTTTAGATAATACAGCTGTGTCGATGCTTTGTCATGACTGTTAGAAAGGTTTTCAACTTCAATCCCACTTTGATTGTTTTATCTAGGAAAAAATGTGCACCGGGAAAACACTACATCTCTCAAGTGCTCTTTGAAATACTTGTTGCTGTTTAAAACAAAAACGCGTCTATAGAGTGATTTGTGTGGTCACTTTTGTAGCTTATATAGCTAGTACAAGTAGTATAAAGAATTCAGGAATAACATGAAAGTATTCTTCATTGATTTGGGGTTAGGAGTTATGTGCCTTTTTTTTTTTGTGTGTGTGTGGAGGGGGGAAGAAGCAAAAACAAGGAAAAAAAAAAAAGATCCATGGTCACTTCTATGAATTGACAGCACAGACTTCAGATTTTTTTTGAAATCATACCTTTTGTAAGGAAAATTGCCCAAATGATTTTGCATAAACTGTTTCCTGTAATTAGGATCAAAGCTTTCAGGTTGAGAGTAATGGTATATATTGTGTACTCATTTTTAAGGAAATCTGATTCTTGTCTTTTTTTTTTTTTTTTATGGCATTCATTATTCAGCAATAAGTTATTACTCAAAATTTATGTGGCAACTCAAAAGTTGAGGTAATTTGGTATCATTATGATTTTATAGACTAAATGTATTCTGATAAGAACTTTAGTGTTTTTCAAGATATATATATATATATTAAAAAAACCTCTAGCATGTATAGTCATTAACATTCTAAAAATGTTATTCCAGCTGTGTTGGGGTAGAGGAGCACCATGCTGTTGACATTGATCTATACCATTGTCCCAACTGTGCAATTCTCCATGGACCTTCTCTAAGTAAGTATGGGTTATTCAGATCTTACTGTACACTTTCAGTCTGTTCTTTATCCATGTAAAATTGAAAAAAGACTGTTCAAAACAACGATCAAGATGGGTTTGATTATTTAGAAGTTACTTGTTATACATGACTAACTCTGAGCTGATAAAAAAGCCCTCCACAAAACAGACAAACCATCCTGAAAGGTTCCTTGATCTGGAGATGCAGATAGAATAAAATACAAACCACAGATATAGATTAGAGAAAGCAAAGTGCACAGAGCTAGAAGAAAACAATCTGCACTTTGCAGAGGAAAAAGAATGAAAATTAGGGTACCATTGTTTAAAGAAAGTGTTGTTTTGTTTTCCCTTGAAGGCCATGTGATAATTTATAGTCAGCAATGACTTAAGATCTAGTATCTTTTCAAAGCTGAATGTACCATTTAGAAATGAGTTTAAAACCATTGTACCCTCAGTGGTAGTCTTGTGGAGTATGAACAAAGTGATAAAGTATCACTTATTGATGGAATTGATGTATGTTGTGCAATACGTATCTTACACAGTATGTGACTTCAGGATTAGGTACTTTCAGGCTAGGGGCTAAAAAGTAAGTTAATCATTTTACGTGCTTGTAGTGCTTAGTATTCCGGTGTCATTTTCAGTTAAAAATCTTGTCTCTCCTGTAAATCAGAATAACAACTGTTTCTTTCCCCACCTTTCTGCCTGTTCCCTATGGAATAGAGGGACTGGGAGGAGTAGAAGGGGGATCATACCAGACTTGCAAACTAATAAACTAGTAAATGTAAAACTGTTTCTGTTCATTTGGGACAACTATTATTTTTCACTGTGATGCCTGTGAATAACCTTTCTTACAGTGCAGAGGCTACTAGCTCTAAGCTGTGTCTCACCTGCAGCAATTTGACACTGAGATAAGAGTGATTTTTTGTGTTGGAAGTCTTTTTAAAAAGACAAGAATCTGTGGTAAAAATTATCCTTATTACTTCATATTGCCTTAGGTAAGTAGATCATCTAGATTTAGGCAATGGTTCAGACATGTCACTTACAACCCAAGCATCAGATGATACATTGAAATATGTCTTCACCTGGAATTTTATTAACTGTTCTTAGCTAAGCTGTCAGAATCAAATTATGAGAGTTTGTGGTTTGGGCTCTGCTTGCTCTAGTGTTTGGAGGGACTGATAATGTCTCATGACTTCAGCTGTTGAAGCAACACTCTACAATGCTCAAATCATGTGAAACTATGTATGTAAGTAAAAAAAAAAAAACAACAAAACCCAAGGCCAAACATTTTTATTTGCAGCTTCTAAAATCCCTTTTCTAAAGGAGTTTCGAAAGCGAAAAAAATCATCTGTTTGATTTAGGAGGGCAAGTATACCTATGATTTCAGCAGATGCTGTGCTATATAATCCCATCTAATCAAACAACATAGTGCAAAAAAGATTACTATTACTAAAAATATGCAAGAAACACATGCTTCATACTATCAAGTGTATGGTTACTTTCAGTATTCTACAAAATTAATGATGTAAAAGTTCCAATAATGAAAAGAACGCTACTGCATAGTTAGGTGTGAAGGTCAAATTAACCAATCAATTTTTTTTCTTGTATTTCAAACAAAAAGAAATCTTCATCTTGATTCGGAAGAACAGCAGTTTTACAAGAACTTTAGTAAGCAGTTACGTGTATAAAATGCTAAGCAATTAATCCTAAAATCCTGAATTATAAGAGCAATTTCAAAAAATAATCCACTGTGGAATTTTCTTACCTTATTTAGAGTGTTCATGTTCTATTTTGGTGTCAGGTCTGTCACCGGACTCTAGAATCCAGAGCTTTAAGGGAGCGCAAGGTGCAGTAAATGTTAAATCGACTGTGATTGCCAGGACATTACGACTATTGGACCAGTGTTTGGTCTGAGGTGACAATACGAGATGATGTACCAGGCCTTAGAAGTGGTATTCTGTGATTTACTTTATGCAAATGCATTGCCAAGTACTAAGTAAAGGAATAACTTTAATGTATGATTTTTAAGTGTTAGAAAGGTAGATTTTATAAGTTGGAACTGTGCTATAAAATCTCCTAAGCAGCTGTATCATTTTACAGTTTTAATGAGCTGTTACAATGGCAGTGAATTTATGAGAAACTACTTTGTTGCAAGCTAGTGTTAGCCACTAATTTCTTGTATCATTATTTATGAGTGAGAAAATAGCTTTGAAAACTTAATAAACCTGGCTTCATTATTTATGATGTTTTACTGTATTTGAGTAGTTAGCTCATTAAGCAGGCTCTTCAGCACTGGTTTGCAGGTTAGCAAATAACTATGAATGTCAATTTATTCTCTTAAGTGTCTTCTAAAGGATACATTTTGTCATGTCTGTAGGAAACAGCTTATCAATAGGAACAATTACCTCTTCTGTTTAATGTCTATGTCAGTTATTCCTATATATTCAACTGGGTTTTTTTTTTTTGTTTTTTTGTTTGTTTGTTTTTTTGTTGTTTGTTTGCTTGGTTTTTTTTTTTTTTCTGGAGAAGCAGCATTTTATTTTTGTTTTTAGAAACTACCTTTTCTCCCTGAAGTCCTTAGCTTCCTGTTACTGTTAGCTGTGTTTTCAGTATTGTTGGTAGTTTTTTAGATTTTGGGTGCATCGTGACTTTGGTAAACTTAAGAATAAGCACTTCTGTAAAGTTACAATTCCTGTTAGTGCAGTTTCTTTAGCTAGGTATTGTATTTACACTGCGGACTGTATATGCCTGTAGAACACCATTTGCACTGACAAGGAACAGTAGCTTTTCCTTCTCCTGTTGAATTTTTGTTCAATATTAGTGGTTAAGTTACAGATCCGGTCTCAGTAAATGTTCTTGGGGCAGTCTTCCAGTAGCAACTATCTAAAGCACTGTTTGGCTTTTTTAGGAAAAATTGAAACACGACCTAGAACTTCTTAACGAGGCCTGTAGTGACAGGACAAGGGGGAATGCCTTTTAAACTGAGAGGATAAATTTAGGTTAGCTATTAGAAGCTCTTCACTATGAGGGTGTTGAGGCACTGGAACAGGTTGCCCAGAGAGGCTGTGGCTGCCTCATCCCTGCAGTGTTCTATGATTCTATGTGCAATATTATTTTTCTTCATTTTCATATCTGTCATTTCTCATGGGGAAATCAACACAACAACTTTTATGAGAATGTCTAGGGGTCTTTTTTAATTTTTTTTTTTTTTTTTAATTTTCCTCAGCCCTTTAAGTATAAGGAACTGTTAAAAATGCAGTTTAGTTGCTATTGAACTATCAGTTTAGACTCCCAAAATTATAATAGAACATTAATTGATTTTTCTTTATTAATATGCTGTAACACTGCATTAAAACTTCAGACCACTTAGATGTCAATTGCTTTGGGTTGCAGTGCTTGTGTTATATATATTGTGCTTGCATAGGGGAGATCACACCTGCCCCAAACGCTTTACACCCAAAACTCTTAAGGAGACACAAGCAGTGGATAGGAGGAAGGTGGTTTACATACAACAGTATATGGTACTGAGTAGTAGTAACACTATCAGACTGAACATGGATATGCTCATATGGTAAGATAGATCGGTGGGGTTAAGTGCTGTTAATTCTGTGGTAATACATAAAATGAAGTCTATGAATCTTGAAGAGACAAAAAAGTCTGAGGTTTAGAAATAGAGCTTTAATTTCCTAGTTTTCTTGCTGACCTTTTAGATTTGGACAGCTTTCAGGCTGCTGCTGTTTACTTGTGCTGCACTGGATATGGAGTCTTAAATTGTGTATAATACGCACTGAGGTTCTGACATAGAAGTATGTATATATATGTGTGTATATATATATAAATATAAGTATAAAGGAATTCTATAGATATAAGTATAAAGGATTACTTGCTCTCAGGTGTCCTGAAGACTTAATGTGTTGCAGGTAGGAAGACTGTCCCTTGCATAAAGCGTAAGGTTTGTTAAAATCATAGTAATATGATTGAGGCATGTCATGTTCACTGATGGGATGACTGCAAAGCTGAGCCATCTGATTTAACTCATTAAAAATTTAATCCTTCCAAAATTTGTAGTGAAGAAGAGGAGGAACTGGCACAGACATGACTACACAGAATTGGATGATGGTTCCAAGCCTGTGCAGGCTGGAACGCGGACCTTCGTTAAACAGCTGCGGGCTCGCTCTTTCCCAAGGTACCAGAGCTTGCTTACATATTTCAGTAAAAAGAGAGATGTGTTGTTGCTGAGTGTGCCTTAGAGGAGACAGCTGACAATTTCTCTGCTTCAGAAAAGGAAGGTTGAGGATGACTTCTTCCTCCTCCTCTAGAATGTAACACCACCTCGCCCCGCCCCCATCGCTGTTTCAGGTGGATACTGGGATATGTTGTCTGTTGGCACTGCTGTGTGGTGGTTTGAGAGGACTGGAGATTTGGGGGTTTTGATTTTTATTTTTTTTTTGTGGGGGAGTGAGTGTTGTAGCATGAGTGGTTGCTTTTCTTTTTTGTGCCTGAGCTGTCAGAATATTTTCTGTCTATTCCTCAACTTCTGTTCCAAAAAACATAGAACATTTATGTGAGCTGGTAGTCTACCTGTTCTCACTTGCTTTGGAGGAAAGTGGAGGAACACGGATGTATTTTCATCCTGAGCTGTGCTTGGCTATCTCACTGAAACACAATGACTTACAGTTCTTTAAAAAAGGTGGTGGTTGTTGTTACCAAAATATACTATAATGCCTTCTCTGAGAATTCCTTTTTCTTGTCCTCTTAAACAACTTATCGATCATATAGAAAGACCATGAGTTCCTGCGCTGTGTGTGACAGTAGACATTTCCTTGCTAGTTTACATACTTTTCTTTGTCTTTCAGTTATATGCTTAATATAACAGGACCACTTCTCTTGGATTCAAATGTAGACATTCCATTTGTTCTCCCCCCAATTATGATATAAATTCTTTTTCTTTCATTAGTGCTTGGAGTATGCTTTTTTGCTAATGTTCCATTATTTTTTTCCACCAGTGCTGATGAAGTAATTTTGAAAATGCATGGGAGCCAGCTGACACAAAGATACTTGGAGAAACATGGGTTTGATGTTCCCATTATGGTTCCTAAATTAGATGGTCTGGGGCTCAGGCTTCCTCCGCCAACTTTCTCCGTTTTAGATGTGGAACGCTATGTAGGTAAGAGTCACTCTGGAGTATATACAGATGATTCTGTCTGTAAATTTAAAATAAATATTTGCATGATTATAAGAGCTTATTATAAGGTTGCCAAATATATAAGTTGAAGACTATCAGAGACTAAAATTAAAGACATGTGAGTTAATTTTGCTTTTTTTTATTTGTTTTCTTTTTTCTTGTGTGGTAGATATGTGATGAGAGTACAGTTTTCTCAGCTGTCAACCATGTTAATTTTCATGCAAGCTAAACATGGGTTTCTTCTCTGCTTCATGTTGTAAAGTATAGTGACTTTTAAGATTGTTCTCTTTGTGGGAATTGAATGAACCACTCTTGTGATAATCAATAAAGTTCAGTCATTTGTTAGGATCTTGCAAAACTTAATGTTTTGTGCTCAGTAAATCGACATTTCTGAATTAAATCTACCTTCCTGGAAAATTTCCTACCTTGGCTTCACTTAGCAGGAGAGCTGGAGCTTCCCAAGGACTATTTCTTCCTTATCAGCTCTCTTGACAGTCTCTTAATTGTTTCAACCTCATGTAAGTGTGCAGTACAGAGAAACAGAGACTGAGCCAACTGCAGGGTGACAGTAATTTCCTGTAACATATAGTACAGTGGAGAAGTTTGTATATGGCCTTGTCTGTGTTCTTGTGATAATCTAAATTTGTGAGTTGAAAGTATGTTTTCATGTCTATCAACATTTTACAGTGGCACCAGAACACAGAAAATACATAGTATAAGGAAAGTTATGTTTATGATGCTTATAAACAGTAATATGTTCTGCTTTAAAATGTTACTGTAGCTTTGATACTTTGGAATACTGCCTCTTCAGATTTAGATGAACAATAGTTTCATTCTCATATGTACATTTTGACCTGCCAGGTTCTCCAGTTTAGAGAAAAAAAAAATGCAATGCCACAGGTTAACCTTTCTATTAAAGAAATAAAAAATAAGAAAACTGAATAAATGTTATTCCCACTGGAATTTAGTGAGTCAGTATCACCTTGCACTTTTGAAGTTAATATATTAATAATATACATCTAGATGCATTCCAACATTCCAAAAGTAATTGTAAAATTGACTGTTGTATAGCTAAATGGACGTAAACAATTGCTGTAATGATGTTGTTGGCTTTCTCTTGACTAAAGTGGCTTCTTGCTTGTCTAGCTCTACAGATGTATCACTTCAAAATACATGGCACTTATACCAGTCCTTGTTTTCAGAAATGAAGCACAGTCATGGCAATTACTTAGCGAAATTATTGTGTGCTTAAAAGTTATGCGTCAGTATAAGGATGGTGGGGGTGTGTTGTAGGATGTTTGCAAAGGAGTACCTGCATGGTTTTTAACATTAATAACATTAATCATGGCGCAAGTTTAGTTCAGTTTGCTAAGAATTACAAACCGTGAACAGAAGGATTTATTATTGTAAATAATTCTCAATAGTCCTTGCACTAAATATTCAAGTGCTGTGGGGATGATTAATAGGAAGAGTGAGTGAGGGACAGCTCTGCCTTGGTAACTTTATCTACACGAGTCTTTCCAATGCAGCCACAAACCCAAGTTTTTAAGCCAGTTGCAGTCATTCTGTACTGCTCTTTCTTTTTGATTAGCCACTGGAAAGAGGACTTATTTTTAGTGTTTTTGGTTCTGTCCTTAGCTATAGCAATTAAAGTTAGACCTGGTAAGGAGTTGGTTTATACTGATATGCCTGTTCCAAAAGAATACTGGTAGTGGAGGTTTTGTGCAGGAATGTTTTGAAGAAGGCTGGAAAAAAGTTGAATTTCTCTTAAACACCTGAATTGGCTGTATTTATCTGTGATAGGTTTAAGAAGGTCATTCTGTTTTCCACAGGTGGTGACAAAGTGATAGATGTAATAGATGTAGCAAGACAAGCAGACAGTAAAATGAAGCTCCATAATTATATTAAGTATTTCACAAATCCTGACCGGCCAAAAGTATTGAATGTGATCAGCCTGGAATTCTCGGACACAAAGTGAGTATCGACTTCAATTCCTTGAACACAGGAAGTGGTTTTCACTAAGCTGAAGAGTATGTGTAGTAATATAATGTCTGTAGTGGGAAAGATAGGAGGCTGCATGTTTTATGTAGATACCTATTGTGATGTAATGTGAGAATAAAACACTTATAAGTAATAATTTTGTAGGAAACAAATTTAAAGCTGTAATTTTAAAAGAGATGTGATTATTCTTGGTTATGTTCATGGTTCTTTTTTGCTTTGTTTTGTTCTCTTTCAAAGGATGTCTGAATTAGTGGAAGTACCAGATATTGCCAGAAAGCTTTCATGGGTGGAAAATTACTGGCCAGATGATTCTGTCTTCCCTAAGCCTTTTGTTCAGAAGTATTGCTTGATGGGTGTCCAGGACAGCTATACTGATTTTCATATCGATTTTGGAGGAACATCAGTTTGGTACCATGTTCTCTGGGTATGAAGGCTTCTTGATTTATTACTATGTGAAACAGTATTCTTTAAGTGTGGAGCTTTCTGCCATGGCATTATCTACTGTATGAAATTTTGTGCTAAAATCCCAGGGGAGGAGCTTTAAAGTGAATTACTGATTGTTGCATTTTTATGCTGCTGGTGACTTCTAGACTGTTAACTGTTTGACTTGATCATTTTAGTAGGCTGATAGGTGAATAGTGGAGCTTTGGTAGGAAGAAATTAATTGAATAAGAACTCTTGCCATATGCAGCTGCTTATTCTTATCACAAACTTTCACCCCACCATCATAGAAGAGACATAGTGGTTTCATCTTACATTTTGTCATTTGGCATATGTGTGCAGAGCCATAAATTGTTTATAAAAGCTGGAATCTTTCATATGCCAATGAAAAGCTTTGGGTGTTTTGTTTGCTGGTTTTACATGGTAAGATACCAGCTGGGGGTAGTGTTTTATTGACTCAGCTTTTGGTGGGTTACAGTTCTGAAACACTGAGGCTTTGAAAACCCTGACATTCTGTGGTGGAAACATGGCTTACTAATCATTTAGGTCAGTCTGTTACTTAATTAGGAAATACACAGAGGTTGTAGTTATGCCTCCAGGAGGACATGCATGCATTTATTTGGCATTTCTGTTAATAGGGTGAGAAGATATTCTATTTGATCAAGCCCACTGATGAAAATTTGGCTCTGTATGAGTCTTGGAGTTCATCTGTCACCCAGAGTGAAGTATATTTTGGGGACAAGGTTGACAAATGTTACAAATGTGTTGTGAAGCAAGGACACACTTTATTTGTTCCAACAGGTAAGATGTTACCCTTATTTCTAGGACTTTGCATGTTTGATCACCAGGAATTGAGGGTATCCTGAAATGATTGCATTGTCAACATTCGGTTTCTTCTAAAATTTTGGATAAGAAAATAATAAAAAATTCAGGAATTCGGATTTTCAAAGCAAGTAATTAGCTTTTTAGGTTGCCTGACAGTAGTAACAGTTGTCAGGAAATGAAAAGATGCTTATTACCCAATTATAAGACAACAAACGAAAGCTGAAGTTTGATATCATGAAAACAATTCCAGTTCCTAGGACACACGTTGTTCACCATTTGATAGGTATCCAGACTGAAATCTTAATTTTATATTACAGTTTTATTTTTACAGCTTTTGAATACTCTGAGAGCTACTAGGTGAAATTATTACTAAAACATCACATAAACTACTTATGCTGTAGGCTAGAGAATTAAAAATAAAAGACGAGTGGGTTTTTTGGGTGGGGTTTTCTGTCAGCAGGAAGTCTGAACTGTGGTGGAGCCTGTGAAGACTGAATCAAAATGGAAGCGTCTCTAAATAAAACTGAAAAAATATATAATTGGATTCATGTGTTAATTCTTTTTATTGAAAAGGGTATTATAGTTTTCAAAACTGTAGTGTTCATAAATTCATTTCAGCAGCTTTCTTTAAAAATGAGGCAGAGGTATGATCTTCTCGGATTTCATTTACCAGTTCTTATAGCCATCACCTAATAGTATCTAGTAAATTAGAGGACATATTTAAGAAAAAAGAAATACCAAAACAGTGTAACTTTTTTATTTGCAAAATCCCCACAGAACAATCCTCCAAACAAAACACACCACTTCCACCCCACCCAAACTCCCAAATACCATGAATTTAGAAGTCTAGTAAATCAGACCATATTTTGCTAACAAACCACGTGCCAGCTAACTTTTTTTATTTTCATGTATCCAGTCCATCCATATAAATACCTTTTAATTATTTTATTATTTAAGCTTTGTACTGGGTATTACCATGCTTTTTGAGGCAAGGAAGCTTTAAATATATGGAGAAGGAAAATGATGCATGTTTCTACTTCTGTAATAAGCCTTGCAGATTATGTTCAGTACCTTATTCTGTCATGGACTTCATAGACAAACATTTTTCTCATAGCTCAGCTCTCTACCTGTGAGGTTTAGTGTTCACTGTTCTAGCTCATGGCTTCTGAAGAATAAATACTACATGGTGAGAAGCTATATATGCACTCCACATTCCTGAACACCAGACCTTTTTTTAAAACCATACGTTTTTTGGCAAGAGATTACATTGATTTTCCATTCATCTAAGTGTAAAGTCATACATCTGTGAACAAAGCATGCAAAATTACAGAATGAAGAACTTCACTGTGGTGTGTAGATCTTTGAAAATAGTTCCTGCTTCCCAAGTAATCAGCTGAATCTGAGCTCTCACTATAATGTGGCCAAAAAGGAAAGTATCACAAAATGATAATTTGTAATGTATACTTGAATTTGTGTGTGTATACACATAAAATGGTACTTTTAAATGTAAATGTGCGTAGACTCATGTGTATGTGTATACACACATACACATTCATATGATATAGTATAAGAACCAATTACTTCTTCTAGGTTTCAAGGTTAGGTGTTTAAAAGTGGGATATTCTGTAAGAGTGATGAAAGGCTTTAAAAAAACCCACCCTGATCTTTACTGAAAAATCACTTTTACTGTTCTTGCTTGCACTGATGCTAGTGGATGTCATAATTATTTTATGATCACTGAAATATGTTTGGAGCAGTCTTCTGACAGTCTTGCATGTAGATGCATAGCACCTACTGTGAGGCTCTTGAGAGTTATTTAAATATTACTCAGGATACTCTGTGGTCTACACCAAATTTTCTTGCATTGTTACATGGAATTTGATCAAACTGCAGCATAAAGTAGCAAGTAGGAATCATTTGGTTGATACAGACATGCCATAAAAATCCTTGGTGTTAATGTAACAGTGATGAGGCTTTGTTATCAGTTTTATCAGCGTCTGGAGGGATGTGTGCTTAAAGGATTGCAACACAAATATTCCCTTGGAGAACTGGAGATATTAATCTACTGCAGTGATGATGATAAGAGTGAAAAACTGAAACCATATTAACAAATGCAAAATGCAGCTGGTAATTCAAGGCAGTCTTCACTGCACTACATTTCTCAAAGAACAGAAGTAAAAATGACCAATGTATAATAGTTTTGTTTTTTTTTTTTTATAAAAAGCCCTCAGGTTGCATCCATCATTGTGTTCTACATTCTCTCGTATTCCATTCTGTAATGTACTTCCTTCCCAGGCTTCATAGTAAGCATGTTGCTTAATCAGCATAGTTGCTAGGTTTCAGGTCTTTTTACGTATGGTGCCCCAACAATTGGAACTAGTTGTTCATAACTGAATTGGGGCATGGATTTAATGGTACCTTGCAATATATAGTTGCTTGTGATTTGTGCTGATACTGACTCAAGTTGAGGAGCTTCCTGTGTTTGTACATCTTGGCTATGCTCAATCAGACCATTAAGTAGTCTGCAACTGTATGACCAACTCATCTTTTGTCAAAAGATCATATGTATGCATGCGAAATCAGAAAAAATCTTAAAAGAAGGAACTCTAGTTTATTTACATTAAAGCTGCACAGTATAAATTTTTAAAATAAAGGTTTTTAACCAGGAAGCTAATATTATATGTTCTCTTGTGTACTTAAAATTACCCAGTAGTAATCAGCTAGATGGGTAGCATAATGTTTGCCATACTTTGCCATGTTCAATTGTAGAGTTCATAGGGACAGTATTTCAACTACATGACGAATTTATATAGTCAGAATGCTTAGACTGGGGTTTAAACTGGTCATAGTATCACTGGAATTAGGATTACTGTATTTAGAATAATTTATGAGCCACATCTGAATTCCTATTTGAGAAGCTTCAGTATTGCTGGATTACTTGATGTTTAGCAAACGGCTCAGTTGCTGTAAGCAATGTGTAAATATTTAAAGGAATATAATTTTGTGAGTGTATCTTTTGTTCAGTATAACCTAACTCTCCTGACTTGCTTATTTTTGTTGATTGGAGGGGAAAAGGGGAGGGGTATTTACTTTAAAAAAATCACTGTCAGCCTTGCATTCCAGTGAAAAATGCCTTAATCTTAACAGTTTCTGAAAACCACAGTTACACTAGATTCTGAAACTTGGTATTTAAATTCTATTAAAATTTACTTACAGCATGGAATACAAGTTTTGCCTTTTTTTTTGTTGTTCCCAGGTACAGTGTTTTTTACTTACATATGTATTTAAAGACAGTCTTACAATAATTCATATGCATGCATTAAGTTTCAGAATCTCTCATTACAGGCTGGATTCATGCTGTGCTCACGTCTCAGGATTGTATGGCTTTTGGAGGAAACTTTTTGCACAACCTCAACATTGGCATGCAGCTCAGGTTAGTCTCAGCTCTTCCTGTACCTTTTTCTCAGTAAGCAAGGTACTCTTTTAATAGATATTCATGCTTTTAACCAGGATGAGGTCGGTGCAGGCTCTCAAGCAGACAATAGTGGCATTTTCAGTTAGAATGTATCAAGTACATTCTCTTCCTTCACTTTTGCAAAGTTTGTTTCAAAATCAAAATGAAGGGTATGCAAGAATGTGAGCAAATAAAAGAATAAGGTAAAAAACTCTGCTCTGGCAATTAGTGTGAGTAAAACAAAACTGAGCAAGCCCAGGTGTGTGGCATTGAAGTTGAAATGAGTCTACTCAAGTCAGCATTGCTCTGGGGGCAGCTGTATATTTAGATTTTTGTCCAAGATGCGGAGCTGTCTTCTAAACATATTTCTATTTATTACAGTGGAATCCTGATAAAATTCCATCTGTTAAAAGATCACACATTGGGTTTGTATCCTAGCTTTATATAAAGTCCAACTGTATTCTTAGAAGTGCCGCAGTCAAACTTTGTAAGGTCAGAGCCTGGATGAGACCAGAGTTCAATCTTGTCTGTAGTCTTGTTGAGATTTAACTATATGGTACTTGACTTCTTTCATTTATCACAACCATGGTTATTTTATTTTAGACATTGAGTCATTTTGAATTATTATGTAGTTGAATAATGAATTTGATAACTAGAAGATGTTCATGTTTTGTACTATTTCTACTTACTCAGGTGTTATGAAATGGAGAAGAGGCTAAAAACCCCTGATCTTTTCAAATTTCCTTTCTTTGAAGCCATCTGTTGGTTTGTGGCCAAAAACTTACTGGAAACATTGAAAGGTAAGCTAATCCTTGTTTTATTTCAAAAGATGCACATGTATCTGCTTTGATTTTTTTCTTTTTTTTTTCTCTTCACTGATAACGGAGAAGATCATACTGCTGCCATGTGAACAGAGCAAACTTTGAAACTTTCTAAGCTAGAAAACCAGACTTGATTATTTTTTTATTAATTTTTTTTAAAAGCCACATTATTTTAGATGCAGCGGTTCTTGGTTCTAGCTAATGATCTTTCTAAAAACTACTTTGGTGATCAAAAGCTTTCTAGGCTAACTTACACTGTGCAGAAGTCCTAGTGCGCCTGGCGATGCATGTAACTAACACTTTGTAGCACACTGCCCCAAGCTTTGAACTATTTTATTAGTGTTTGCCATCCAATGCTGATGACATATCTGGTCAGTGAAAATATTCTAGGTTATCAAGGCTGAGTATCCGAGATCCTGCTGTAGTACAGTTATGCTACCAGCCAAACAGGATTAGTTTGCCATTATTTGGATGACCTCATTAAAGAAGATAAACTCCAATGACATTAGTTTTTCACTCAGGATGCTTCTGTAATAATTTAAGATTTTTGAGTCCCCTTTGATAGCTTCCTTCTTTCAGCAGAGAACTCTCTAAATCATCCCACTAATTTATATTTGTGAGTTTCTTCTTGGTGGCTTTGCAGCTGAATGAAGAGGTTTTCTCGCACTTCTACAATTTCTTTGACCTTTTCAGTCAAACTACCTGTGGTCTTGTCCTTTGTAGTGAAGAGAAAGGTGTCTGAGGGCTTTTGTAGGAAAGATGCATCAGTTCTTATGAGCTGTGTTAAATCATTGGTATGAGTGTTTATCAGTAGATGTCTCAACAACCTCTTGTTCTTGACAGTTGCTGGTCCCTTCCAGACTTCATCTTCTAGTCCTGTAATTCCTGTATCTGTACCTGTGTATAATTCAGCTTGAGAGAGTGTCTGTCTGATTTCACCTTCTTTTTGTCAAATATCTTGCCCTCTGCCTGCTGTATTTAATCTTAATAAACATCATACTCCAAATTATGTAATTCAAAGGAGATAAATCAGTTCAGCGAGGAGCCTGCTAAATTCAGCTTCTGCTTTGGAAGAGAGCAGAATCTCATGTGATATTATTTTTTTTTAATATGATAATAGTCACAGTTACTGAAAATTATTTATTCTCCTTTCAGCAGATGAAGGCATTGACCAACTCTTGTTTCCTAAATGAGCATTTGAAGTTTCTGGATGAGCCTAAAGCAACTTAGAAATCTTACCAAATAGAACAAACTTGCAGAAAATTCTTGCTTAAAAAGAATAAAAAAAAAAAAGGAATATTCTTTTGCTTTGGTTGGTCTCACTCCTATATATTTAAAATTTGCAAACTCTTCAGAAGACATAGGAGCCGTATTCCTGCTGGAAAAGCAGTGGGATAGATGTTTCTGTATCATCCAGCTAGTTATGAGTCATGTCCTGTGTCCATCCCTACTTCTTCCACCTCCTCTTTTTATCCCGTGAGTCCTTGAGTACATAGACTGGGAGCCTTTTGTAACTTGTGTTTTAGGAATGAAGTTTATTCTTATGTTATTTTTAATCTATGGCTTAGAAGGTATTTTGTTGCAGAACAATGCTGTGATCTATAAAACTACCATAAAGAACAATAATAGAGGTTTCCATGGCTAGAGTGAAGATTATGTTGGGTTTGGCATCAAGACTCATGTGAATTAAGTGTTTGCTGGTCAGAATCCATAGTTTTCTTAAAAAGGGATGATACATGTTTGGTTGTGAAAGGTAGTGGTGGTGACCAACTTGTAAAATGTTGAGTGCATGGGTGTTAGCAGTACCTTATGTGAAATTCAGGTCAGTAAGCAAGATCAGCACAATGTATCTTTCTGATTCTTTTTATAAAATGGTAACAGGGTCATAAACATCGTGATTTTTGTCTTTCATTGGCAAGAAGTGTTTTATATTTTACGTGTGGTAGCTTTTGCCTAAACTATTTTTCTTCATAGTTCTTGGGGCTTCAGAATAGGTAACTTCATCCATCTGATACTCAGTAATTTTCTTTACTCTTAAGTTGTGCAGTCTTTTCTATGGCAGCTAAAAAATTCCAGCCTGTGATGCTGCATTATATTTTCAAAACTGTCAACTGAATAAGCTAGTGGGCAGGAAGATTTCTACTGCAACTCAATGCCTGACACTCTTTCTCCAGTTGGAGGCATCTCTGAGGGAAGAACAGCCATTCAGTAACAGAACTTCCCTTTTTTTCTGCCAGCAGACCAATACAGTATCCATTGGAATAGTGTTTTATTAGTGTGTTCTTTTAAGGTAATAAAATGAGCCCAGTAGTTCTAATGTTAGTCTACTTGCTGTTGACTAGTGGAAATACTTGCTAGGAACATGGAGAGAGGTTGCAATCTCCTTTTGGCTGTTCATGGAGGATTGTTTTTTTTCCCTTCTTCCCCCCACCTGAAGGAAAAGAGAAAATTGAGAAGAAATTGTAATTACTTGGGAGCACCAGCTTTCTTAAGAGCAGCTTCTGTAGCAGGGTGGTTTCCACCCCACCATAGCCCTCCCACTTGGATTTTGGAAGGAAAAATGATGTAAACTGTGTGAGGGAGAACTGTGATAATTGCAAGGGTGACAAAAAAATGAGGAGTGGAAGTGTGCTAGTGTGAACCATTTGCTCTACGTATGGGAATAAGCAATAGGAATTCTAATTTGGAGATACATCCCACATCCTTCTGGTCCCGTTTGACTAAAATATTTCTGAATGAAATAGAAGTGGTTTCTTCAAATATGTTTTCTCTTGTTCTGTATTTCAGATCTGTTTTGTTCTATTTGACCATTAGTATGTTGTAGACTATCCTTAATTTTCATGAAAAATTAAAAGGAAGATTTTTATGTAGAATCACTTTAGGGTTGGATGTCTTGTTGCTGTTGCTACAATATGCACACAAATACAGGATGTGATGCTTTGCTTGCATATTTCCTTTTTTGTATGCTGTTGTATGATGGGAACTTCATTGGCTGAAGGGTAGGTATCATTCTATTGTTTTCGCTGTTAGTGTGTTTCTAAATAGGTATCTGTATCCTTTCTAGAACTGAGGGAAGATGGTTTCCAGCCTCCAAGCTATTTAGTGCAAGGAGTGAAGGCTTTACTTACCGCTTTAAAATTATGGATGAAGAAAGAAGTAAGTATAAGTGATTTTGTTTGCTAATGTGGTGAGCTCTCTTTTGATTTACAAGTAAGTGAAGGTCTGTGCCCTTTTAAAGTTGAGGATTGTTTTTATCTGTTACTGAGTAATGAAGGACTCTATGGAGAGTATGTACTGCTGCTCTGGGGAAGAATCATCATGATAACTGTATTCTGTGATGCTAACGAAGTAATTTTTAGGCCAGTTAATAAGCTTTTGTGTTGTAGCTGATAGAAAGTTGCTTCACCTCAGGATGGAATAAGAATGCTAGATGATAAGCTGATACAGTGTGGTTTTTTTCTTTAACAAATCTGTTTATGTACTTGATTCATCCTAGTCAGAAGCAATGAATGCCCTGATATTTAGCATTTGCCTTTCATGTCAGTGTTTTGGAGAGCACACTTCAGGTACACCTCTTTTGCTGAAGAGTCAGTTTAGATTCAGACGAGTTTGACTTCAGTTGAATACTATCGCTGGTGAACATTGGCTGACTCTATTAAAATCATTAGTATGTTCTCTGTGGTGGCTTTGCTGGTGCTCTGCTCTCCAAAAAAGCTTATTTGTTTTGACACAGCACTGGATCTGGCCTAACCCCATGTGTTTTTCATGTGCCCTGAGAATAAGCCCTCTCAGAACTGGTGCTTCTGAGAAGTGCGGTTCACTGACAGGCAGTTTTGTTCTGACTGAGCTTATGAGTTCTAGTTTGTTCCTGGCTATGCTGAATTGAAGTTGCTCTTGCAGATCTGTTTGGTCTTTCTGTCCACAAGTTCTCCTTGTAAGAGAACTCCTTATACAACAGGTACGATGTTTGCACAGTACTGCATTCAACATAATGAACTTTGTAGAACTGGACATGAGGTGCAAGTGCAGAGGTGGCTGTGCTGTATGTAATCCACTAGGGTTTAGCCTGTGTTGTTGTTTTAATGATTCCAGTTGAACCTTTGCTGGCCCTCTGTGACACTTACGAGTTGGTTCTCCAGTGTCTTTCTCTATGCCATTCTGGATCAAAGCTAGCTAGTAAGCCAAACAGGATGTTTCGCATAAGCTGTTAAATTATGTGTGAATCCAAGTGGTCTCTGCATCCATGGCATGGGTAGTAAGCAAGCTGAGTAATCAGGCTGCTCATAACTGAGGTCAAACATAGCCTTTGTAAATCCTTATTTTCATTTGAAATTGGATCGCAGTTTGTATCTTCTCAATTGCTGTTAGCATAATACTGTAGCATTTGTGTACTGTCTAGTAGCTCATTGAGCAGTTTTGAATAATACTTCATCTAGAATGCGATGTATTTCCTACTTACCTGTGGGAAAAAAAAAGTGCACATGCTTCATTCTGCATGCTTATTAATGTGAGTATTCCCAAGCCGCTGGCTGACCAGACACTTTAGCTGTGAGGAAGTTGCACTTGTATTACAGCGTTGCCTGCTGTCCGCCAGCTATCGTGTTTTGTACTCTGCATTCATGTTTTCTAGCTGCTGCTTCATAAATGAGCTAATGTTTTCTTTGCAGTAGGCCATGTGCCTGATAGGATTGTAGTTGTGTGCAGCTGCAGACAGGAGCTTTGTACATTGCTGTATGATCTGCTCATGCTGGAGATTTCAGATTCTGAAAAAGAAATGACAAATGAATACTCCTCAAAAGAGAAGCCTACTCACGAGTTTTCATGTTTGTATCATTGGGTATGTCTTTTCAAGACATACGTGAATTATTTTAATGAATAAACTTTTTGCTGGAGAATTTCAAACTCATCTTCAGCGGGGCAGTGGTATCTTCATTTAAAAACTGCCAAAAAATTACAAGATGCTGATAATAGAGGTTGAGTGCTTCTAAAATTATTCTAGTTTCCATGACTTCATTTGAATTCAGTTTGTACAAGGCTTTTACCATTATGTGTATTCTCTGACTACTCTGGTGAAGGTCATTGGTCTGCGTCTTAGTTGGTGTACACAGTAAGGATAATGACCTGTGCAGTCATCTGAGCTCTTGGATTTTAGCTCTGGCTTCCCTCCAGCTTGCATAAGCAAGAGGCGTCAGATGCAATTTTTCAGATGTTTGATTCATGTACGAGTGAGATTATTTTAGGCAACATTTCTGTGTTTTTAAAAAAGATATTAATAGCTGTTGTGAAATATTATCCTTTTTTGTGAGGAGGGAGGGATGTGGGTTTGATTATTTTTATTTTATTTTTGTGTGCATTTTTGAGTACTGATATAGTCTCCAAATATGTGTGGCTTCATTTGCCTACCAGGACTTTTAAAAGTCTTTATCTCTTGATTTAAGACAAAGTTTCCCCCCCCCCCCTTTTTTTTTTTAACCTTTGTATATTTCCAGCATTCACAGAACAGTTTCTTGAAGCTCTTGAACTAACTGTAGCTTTTGTCCATTGGTTTTGTGGTTTTTTTTTTCACTTGCAGTTTATATCTGACATACTTAGGCCATTTGTTGCTCCTGTTCTCTGTAGTACAAGAAAATTCCTCAGTCCCAAAGCCTTCTTGTTTCTTTTCCAAGAACCAATATGCAGAGACAACCTAAAACCAAGTTACTTAATAATGATATTTTCAGACATGGACTTTGTAGGCATCCCTGGTTTCCTGCCCATCCTTTCTTCCTGTCAGACTGTTAGGTTATATATCAATTTGAATTTGTTAACGTATTTAAGTTGCTTGGATGGATTATTTATTTATAATGACTCTGCCACAACTTGAGAAAGGTTTGATGGCAATAGACACCTTTTATAGTAGCAAACAAGTGGGGTTTTCAGTGGAACTTGTTTTGTTCAAAGCGTTACTGTAAATCATACTGGCAAAATACTGTGCTTCTGATAAAACCTGTTTTTATCATTAGGAAGGCTTTGGTATTTTTAAACCAGGGAAACTTTTAAGTTGGTGTTTTGGAGGATTGCATCAGTCACTTTCTCTTAAAGCCTTCATGGACAGGAAGGCTTTTGGGAGCGTAAAGTTCTGAAGTAGAAAGTACTGAATGGTCCTAAAATAACCAGTAGCTTGCTGGGAAAATTACACAGTTAGTGACAGAGGTGCTGCGTTCCCAAGTGTGAAAGTGTAGAGGTGGTGTGTTCAAAGAATGAACAGTGGTAAATAATAGCAGCTGATTTAATCTTTCCTGTAAAATTAATGGCACTGAAATGAATCATTAAACCATGGGTATATATCTACATGCTGGCTTTTTTGGGGATGGGGGAGAGAGCATTCCTTTTCATGACTGAGAGGAAGCCAGGTTCAATGAATGCACATACAGTATCGAATTGCTTCTAGCAATAATTCTGCTGCTGAATCTCATTTTTGAAACACAGGTAGCTGAAAGTGTTTGTGTGATGTTTTTCCATTTTAAAATAGTTGATTAAAGTGGTAGCAGAATTCGTGCCAGTTATCCTGTGTGAGTGCTGTTTTGTCTGTTTAATTCAAATCGAAAGTGTTTTGAGGCACAGTTAAACTGTACTTACAAAATATTAAACATTTGCTGCTCTCTAAATCTTGGTCTGGAAGCTTCAGTATGTGTATGTGCATCTGGCCTGGCAGTTTGCAGTCTTTTCTACAGAAATTAATCAGAAATTAATCTGGCTTTTTCCTTCCCTCCCCCCGTAGATTTGTTTATTTCTTATTACTTCTGCTTTTATCTGAAAAATGAATTAAGTATCTTCTTCCTCCTTTTGCATTCAGCTTGTAACAGAACATGCCTTTGAAATTCCAGACAACATTAGGCCTGGACATCTCATAAAAGAGCTCTCAAAAGTGATTCGTTCTGTAGAGGTAAGAACAGAGGCAACCCTACATAAGCCTGTAGCAAGAAAATAATTTGAATCAGGGAATTCCATAATATATTTCTCCTTCATACTGGTGTTTTGCTCCCTAATCCTTAATGAATATTGACTCTTGAAATATTCTCACATTTGCATTTGGGAAGAACAGTTCTAAGAACTAAAGAGAAATGTGATTTGTTGGGTACAATACATGTCTACTCTATGCTGCCTTCACAAGTAAAATCTGATGTTCTGGTGGTAACTTTTGGTGTTAAGCACTATTATTATAGGAGATTATGTGAAGCTTTGTACATCAAATCCTCACAAAATATGTATTGCTTCTTTAGAAGGGCAAACAATTTTATTGATATAATTTACATTTAAGTAGATTAATAGGAAGCATCACTTAAAAATGTGAATTTATTTCTCTGGAACCATTCTGAAATACTTGTTTTTAATTACAGGAGGAAAACAGCAAACTAGTTAAAACTCAGGGAATTCTTGGTGTGTGTCCAACTTCACGGTCTTCGCATGAAACAACTTACCCTCACCACTCCAGACGAAGGGTGAGGAAACTGCGAGACCATGCTACCAAAACTCCTTCTAATCTGGACATCCTGGAACTCCACACTAGGGAGGTACTGAAAAGGCTGGAGATGTCACCGTGGGAGGAGGCAAGTATTAATGTAGGTGCAAGAAGAGCAAGACTGGAGTACCTTTTTAATCTCTGTTGAAAGGGGAAAGCTTTTAACATGCATAAGCATACATATGAGAGATGGATAGATTTGCTTTTGGTTTCTTTTGGGTTTTCCTAATAGAGATTTCTCTCTCTTCCTTGATAAGTATGATTTTCTTGGTTTGTGTTGGTGTGTTTGGTGTTTTTGGGTGTTGGTGGGTTTGGGTTTTGTTTTGTTCTTTTTTTTTTTGTGTTTTTTTTTTTTTTTGGAGGTTCCGTCAACATTTTGGTTCAGAAGGTGCCCCGAATTTTCACTACCCACTTCCAGTATAGTTTTTGAATCATAGAATAGTTTAGGTTGGAAGGGATCTTAAAAATCATGTGGTTTCAACCGCCTGCCAGAGGCAGGGACACCTTCCACTAGACCAGGCTGCTCAAAGCCCTGTCCAACATGGCCTCAAACACTGCCAGGGATGGATGGGGCAGCTGCAGCTTCTTTGGGAATTAAGACTGCTGTAGCTATCAAGTGCTACTTTGAGTCAGTTATGTGAAGAAAATGAGCTTGCAAATCCTTGAGGCTCTGAGCCAGCCTGCTTATCTGTGTGTTTTTAGATAGCTGCTTCTTACAGTTCAGCTACTGTAATTTGATTAGCCTTGTTTTTCAGTCATGTTCCTACTTCCTGTATGGCTGCTCTTCCCTGCCAATAAGCCTGAGGCTGCCTTTGGTCTCCACTGTGGGACTGTGGACTTTGTAGTCATATTACAAAGGTATCGTGTAGTGAATGACTGAAATGTAGTCTCTTGGAAAAATACTTTTCAGGTTTGATGACCTTGTTTCAAAAAGCAGCAACAGAAGTGGGAGAAAGAGTGAGAAAATAGACATTGGGAGCTTCCTGAGAATAAGAAATGCTGGCAAATTTAGTTGGGACAGGATGGACTGTCATAGTGGAGAAATACTGGTTTGGGTCCTTATATTGATCTTCATAAGGCATGAACATGAGCCATTCATTTAGCCCCAAAGATGGGAAGCCGAACTTAAAATTGATCATAGATAGTTAAACTGTGCAGTTCATTGCTAAAACCAAATGTTTAGGAATGTTAATTATTGTCATTTAATACAGAAATATATTTTTCAATGTCAGTATAGAATTAAAAGAAATAAATTTGCACATTCCTGGTTTGGCGTTTAAGTGTATTGTTGATTGCTTCAGAGTATATGTCAAATGTAATGGCTTTGAACTAACAAAGTTCTGCTTATGTCAATAGAAGCTTTTTTTTAAAGTGTAGAAAAAAACAAAACACCCAACAACGTTGCTTTAACTTCTTTAGGATACCACAAGCTCAAAACTGAACGGGAGATTTAACAAGCCACTTCAGCCGTCATCTACAATACCTGAATGGCGAACAAAAGACAATGATCTTCGCCTTCTGCTGTCAAATGGAAGAATAATAAGGTACAAAGGATTGACTGTGATCACTTCCTCCTAGTTATTCTGGTCTGGAGCATGCTTATTGTTAATAATAGTTACGTTTGTGGAGCTCCAAGTTCCTTTCTATCGGTAAGATTTGTGTTAGGAATACAGAGGGAACGTGTTGTCTGTTGTGTCTGCTGTCCCCTAGTGGAGCCACGGTTATGGAGTGAAGAGGAGGAGATTCTATGTTCCTTTGTTACAGCATTTCATTCAGTTTCTCTGCTGGGTTTGTACTGGAGGGAGTGCTTCAAAGTAGGAATCATTTGTATCCATCTAATTAAGGTGATTCTCATTAACAATATTCCGTTGCAAGGCTTCACATCTTTCTGGAAATGCCAGTTGTACAGGGAGTAAAACAGAAGTATGTACAATTCAGAATGAGGAAATGAGCATGTATCTTGAGAGCATGTTGTAAATAATGAAAGGAAAACAATTTCTTCAGGTTTGTAAGAATAACATGATTTTTTCTTGTGAGACAGAGATGAGAGACGCCCATTTACAGATCGAAGTCTTTACACAGCAGATAGTGAAGATGAAGATGACAGGACAAGATCAAAAAAGATGACTGTTAAGGTAGAAGACCAGCCCTCAGGATTTGAGGGAGAAGGGAATGCAGATGCCCAGAAACCACTGAACAGTAAGCTTGTCTCTAAGTCCTATCAGTTGAACATTTTGATTATCTTGAGGATCAAATGGTTGTGAAGTCTGACTGAAATTTTACCAAAGTATAAAGGGGATAAACTAATAGATCAGAAAAGTGGTATTAGAAGTTACAACAAAACATCTGTCAAATACTATATGTTTGCTGAAGAAGGTAACAGGATAGAGTTGAAAAGTAAAACTTGCCTTTTTATGTGAGTGCCATCTTGAATACTGTGTACTTCCTTATATTTAACTTTTCTGCTCCATTTGGTGATTACTTACTTGATCATACAATTTTGTATGTTTAGCTAGCAAATAGGTTTATCCCATACAGGTGATCAAACTAATTTATCATTAATATAATCTTATACTTTTAACCTTGTAATTTGGAAGGTTGGGCAAGAATTTAGATTATCTGTGGAACACTTTAACCCCACTTTCCAATACTTTTAAATTTTCTTTCACTAGGAGTTTATCTTTTTTGGTCTTTCTGTAGCCTCAAGCCGTCTTGCCATGTGTTCAGCAGAACTGATCACACAGTGAATTAGCAAAGTATCACTATGGAAAGCCTGCTTTCAGTGCCTATTTTTAATAGCACTGTCTGTGGACAGTGACAAATAGGTCCTTGACATAGCTGTTCAGCTCTCTGTTTAATTATAAAAGTCACATCCTTTCACGGTAGAGTGTTCAAGGTCTTGGAGAGTATGCATTAGGAAACAGCTCAACACTTAAGAGGTAATAAGACTCCTCTAGAGACTTACAGTTGTCTTAGTTTCCCGTACAACAATGGGTAACAACATTTGAATCCTTTGTCAGCCTGGATAAAATATTTGATTATTTTCATTAAGAAAGCAATTTTTAATCTTTGTTGACTGCTTCTAAAGGTCACAGAGGACAGTAATGAAAAATTTGCATGGGAAGGAGGTGTTTGTGTACTCATGAACCAACAAGGCAAATGGCTGGTGGAGTGAAGGCTTAGGAATATGTGGTGTTTCTCCGCTTTCACAATTGAACCAAGTAAACTTAAGTAAATTTTAAATAAGTTTTACAATTGAATCAAAGATTAAATCATACAGAGAAATGGTAGATTTTCTTGTTGCTTTTATTTGATACTGAACGAGAGAGACAGGATAAAAAAAGAAAGAGAAAATACCCTTCAGCATAGAATTCCACAAAAGGAGCTACCTGTTTCTATAACAGCTGCCACTTTCCATTGTTTTCACTGGGACTTAGGCCAAGAGGCAAAGTCCATAGAGAAATGCCTTTAAACAGATTAAGTTCTATATATCTTTGTGTGTCATGCCAACATCCTGGTCCTCAATGATGACCCAGTGTTATCAGAAAGACAAAGATAAGTGCTGTGCTTAATAGAGCAAGATAATTTGTGTGGATGAAGAAAAGGTGAATTTTAAGATACATTTTGAATTCACAGTAGCTTAGCTTGATCTTGCAGATGACAGCTGCTTTCATTCATCCCATTTCTGGAGTATTTCTCCTAGTCCCTGAAAGCATGCAGAGTCATAACTTTTCTGAAAGAGGCAGTAGTCCAAAGGAAAATTCATTAGAATTATATAATTGTATTTTCTGTATCATGCATGCTGTTGCTTATCCTAGAATCTTGTTTGCCATTTTGAACTGAGCTGAAGGCTTGCGTGATAATCAGAAAACCCTTAAGGTTTTTTTTGAGCTACAGTAATTCAGAATATTAATTTCATTGTCATCTGTTGAGCATTACTTTATTCAGCTTAACTTCATATACAGTGCTCTTGCTAATTTACTGTGTTCCTTACAGCTCTTTCTGATACTATCTTAAGGTTAATTAGTCTTCTTTAGATTTTGGTCCCAACTGTTCATTTTATTCACCTTCTGAGAACCTGTCTTATTCTTGGCTTAATTCTGACTCTACAAATAATTACAGCTTGTGCAGTTTTTAGTAATTAATAATATACCTTGAAATATATTTGATGCCTATTTGTGAGCTTTGCCACAGTCTGCATTAGGAACAAAGTCCTACTAGAATTGCAGTGTATATGCAGGGTTACAGGTACATCTTTTATACTTGCATAATTAGTGCTTGATAAAGACTTGCATTCTATTTATGTTGTTTCATATAAAACTGTGCTGAAAGCAGACCAGCATTTTAACTTTACTGGTCTTCATTCCAGAGCTGATGTCTGATCTGTGTTGGTTTGCTTTCAGCATAGCTTTATGTGAAACTATAACTACTTCAAAAAGCTTGAAAAAGTTATGTTGCCTTCTTTATCCACTACTTTCTTGACCCACATTGATAAATTTATTTATTTTATTTGGCTTTTCTCCAAAAATCTTCCCTAGTTAACTCCATGCTGTAGTTTTTCACAGATTTGTACTTAATCAAGCTTTCTGCCAGCAGCCTTGACACAGGTATACATATAGCCCATTTATCTTGAGCCTTGGATTTCAAACACTTACAAATGTGTTTTCTACTCATGGTTGTTTTGGACATATGCTGTCTTTTAAAAGTACATGCTTCTTTAAGCTGCTCAGCTACTTCATGTTTGAGCTCTTTCAGCACTTTTTAAAAAGTAAACCATGTGGACTAGGTGGTTGATTTGATTGATTGCTTTGTCATATGCCAGTGTTCTTGATGTCTGTTTTGACACCTCATTCTCTGAGTAGTACTTTTTCTTACTGCTGTCAAAAAGCATGTCTAAGGTTAGTGTTTCCTCTTCTCCTTTTCAGGTATTTCTGTGGTTAAAACTTATGCAAGGATGTTGTGTATTATCACAGTAATATTTTAATCTTTGAAGAGGTCTGCATTTTAACCCTGATTGGCAGCTCTGTAATAGCACAGAAGAGGCAGAATATGCCAGTAAATTGTAATGCAGAGTAAAAATGCAAGCAATGCAATGAGTTTTTTACCTTTAAATCAGCTAATATCCTCTGAGTTCCATGTTTTAGTGTTTCTGTAGAACTGCCTCTATTTTAAACGAGGAAATTCCAGTTTCAGTGTGTCAAAGTAGTATTGGAGATTACTTCTGACTAATTTTTTCTGAGAGCCACTTCTCTGCCTCTAGCCTGTATAAAAATTCAAGAGTTGTCCAAGGTAGCATCTATGGAGGATGTACTCTGTGGGAGAGAAAAAATACATGCATCTGCCACACCTGATTTCTCTTCCTCTGGCTTCATCCAGTCAGTCAAATTCTGGAGTTTTTTGGTCAACAGTAGGGATGGCACTAGATTTTTAAGCAAACCTGACTTATGAACTGAATTAGTGCTTGGAAGTCCTTTTGTTTACAGACTGTTAAAGACTATATATGTTTTCTAGTTCTTTGCTTCCAAAATAATAGTTAAGTATTATATATAACAAATGTTGGATCTTACGTTTCAATTTTTCTCCTCACAGTGTTCTTTGAAAGTGTGAAATCAGAACTCAGGAATGGATCCTCAGAGTACTCTGATATTTCTGATTCAGAAGAATCTGAGCCTGATTGCACTACACAGGTATAGCTAGAAAAAGTCACAAAAATTAACAAAGCAATTAAATATAATTTTGCTTGCTCACTTCAAATTCATCTGGTCAAAGTTCATCTTAAAAGAACAACATCAACATTTAATTCTGGTTGAAAATAATACCTCAAACTTACAGCTCTGCCTCATTCTTTATTTATTCTAATGTTGAGAAAAATTACAAGATATGATATCTTGAGTCATATTTTGTGATCTTTGGTGTTAAAGTAGGGCTGGCAGAGGTTGAACCCTGCTCTGGAATATATAAAGTCTGAAAAAAGTAAGATTGTAGTTGCTCTGTTCATTTCTTCCATAACAAGTCTAAATTTCATCATTAGAATTATGAGTATCTACCACAAGGTTTTATTTTAGACCGTGGTTAAATGGAAACAATCTGTAGGCCTTCAGTTTTCTTAAGTAAGCTTAAGTGGGTAAATCCTTTGGGGTGTTTTAGAATACTTTAAATAAGTTGGAATCCTCCATTTGAGGGTCTAAATTCCAGTGATTTCCTTACAACTAAATGCAGTATAAATACATACGTATGTATGTGTGTATGTATTTATACCATGCATTTTATTAAAACTTTTAGTACTTAGAAATTTTTTATGTGTCTATATGAAATTTTTAATGATTTTTTTTCTTAACAAAATTGTGCTCTGACTTAATTTCCATTTTATTAGCAGTAAAGTGCTGATAGTGTGCAATGATTACTTCAGACTTTTGTTCTGTGCATCTGGAAAGTGAGTTCTTTGGTCTTTCTTTCAATCATCTGCCTATTACAAGACTTTACAAGAGATCTTCCTACTTTTTCCACAGTGGTCAAAATTTATTTTTAGTATTTGTTGTTTTCTATGATTACCTTCTCTAGATGTTGGGATATGTGATAGAAAACTTCATGATGTGGCTTCTGGTTTCCTAAACTGCATTGTCAGCAACTTTGGCTCAGCAGGTTTCCTTTTTTAAGACACAGAATCAATACTGTTCAAAATTGATACATTTCATCTTCACAGGGGGAATGCAGCCAGTTTTGCTCGATGTCACCATTGAGTTAAATGTTTTATACTAATGCTATTTACTCTCTTGGGTCTTTTTATATTATTCTGCTTCTTAATTTCTAATAGTATCTAATGGAATAATTTTTCTGCGTGTTTAAATTTGTCTTTTCTAATGATATATCCAAAATCAGCTGTCTCGGTAGCTCCTGTAAATCCTTCTTATGTTTTTGTATTGCACCCAAGAAGGTCTTAACAAAACAGGATAATAGCTTTATTAACATTGAGTCATAGTTAAAATTTAATCGCACATTTGTACCACTTTCTGAGTGTCAAAGATTAACAAGCTGTTCTTGTGAATGAAGTTATTGTATAAAAACATCCCTTGGTGATATGAAGCACTTCATTCATTCCAGTTCCATTTTTGGTGATAGGGATAATGGTGTCCCTCTTGAAGGATTATAATTCCTCCGTGTTCTGATCTTCCTCTTTTAACACTTGATTTAATGTCGTGTATATTCCTTGGCTTGGAAAAAAAAATTGTGCTGTTCTCTGTACTTGTTAAAAATAGATTAGTCTGAATTACCAAGACTGAGCATACCTATCGTAGCCCTTGCTTCATGTAAAAGCATATTGAGTCACATATGGTTATTCCACTTTTGAGAAGCTCTTGCATATACAATCTGTAATCTCAGCAGGAGCTGAGAGGCCCTTTCATTCATGAAAAGAGTCTGTGCCACTGTAAGAGAGGCAACAGCTGTTGTGTGTCTGTTCCTGCTGTGTTCTGGATTTACCTGAGAGCTTCTGTCACTCATCAGAGAGATGCTGCTGCTGCAAGTTATTATATTTGTGAGCGAAGGAATCAGAAAGAGTTATGTGGGACAGGATGTGTCCCATTATATGTAATAGGCATCAATTCTGGTTGGTGTTTGGAACCATAATTCCACATGTTTCCTTCTACTTTGAATATCAAAGATAACAATAATCAATGCTCTCTTCAAAGAGAATGCAATGATTTGTGCGTTGTTTAATGTGTGTGGTGTTTTCTATATTGTTGGGTAATGTACTCAGCAGTGTTACAAAATTGGGATGTACAGTCCCTCAGTGCTGTATTCAAGTGAAGTCATTCTGAATACTGTATATATAAAAAGGTTGGACCTGGAAGCTTTTGAACTTTTTACTTAGCATAAGTTAAGGTGCATGGTGACCATTCTAGATACTGTTTCCTCTCGTTTCAGCAGAAGAATTCCTCCACAGAGGAGTCAGAAAGCTCAGGTGATGAAGAGAAACAGGAAGTAACATCGAATTTCAAAGAGGAATCTAAGGTCACAAGAGACCTCTGTCAAAATACCCAGAAGCCATCCAGAAATGAAACTCCCAGTAAAAAGTAAGCACACTGTAGGCATTTGTTTTTAAAACGTTAGACCATTTCACACATTCATGGTCCTGCTTTATACCAGTATAAAAATCATTCCTTCAGAGAAATTTGAACTGCTTAATACTTCTTTATTTTTCTAGGGAATGTCCTACCTCGACAAGTACAGAAGAAGAAGCTATTCAGGGCATGCTTTCTATGGCAGGATTGCACTATACTACATGTTTACCAGGTCATACTCAAAGCACAGACTGCACAGCTAAAAGAACCTCTCTTCAGGAACACAGAAGCTACCCCAGGAGTCGGCATAAAGACAGACAGCCATCTCAGAGCCACAAAACAATTGAATGTGGTAGGTATCTGAATTAATGACACTGCTGCTCTCTGCTCTTGGAGAAACGGATCAGAATGAGGACTGAAAGTTTCATTTTTCAGATCTGTAGAGTTTTTACATAAATGGCATTTTCTTTTCACTTGGGTTTGTTTTGTTTTTTTTTTTTCTCTTTTTAATGAAAAGTAAATGTTCTGAAAACTGGAACTAACTTAGTTTAAGCAGTCATCTGAATGGGTCTTCTAAATTTTGCCATCTAAAAGCTTTTGTGGCATCTTTACAAGAGTGGCAAAGTTATGGCTAAATTTAAAATGTAGTCTCCTTATTGAAAGTGTAATTCCTTCTGAAAAGATTGGCACAGCCTTCATGGTTGCAGCTTTCATGGCATGTGTGTTCCTTAGATGTCCATAGGAATCTGTTGGTGATTTTTCATGCCTTTTGGAAGGCATATTTGGCTTTACTCCTGAAATTCTGGTACGAATGCAGTACATTAAAGGAGATTGTAATCTTGAAAAGGAGAATTCAGAAGTAATTTTTTTGACAGTGGCATTTTTGATGTCTGTGGAAAACGGACATCTGTTAAATGCATTTTGGGAATGACAGACAACAGAACATTAATGCTAATCCCCTCGGAAGAATCAAAATCACTTCTTGGAACAGAGAGAAAAAGAGTAGTCATGTTTGAGAATTCTTTGCTGAAGAAGGAAATGGAAGAGGATTATAGCTTTGCTGATGTAAAACAAATAGAATCCCACCAACAAATAGGGTGCTAATTCAAAGAACTAATATTATATGGGGTTTTGATAACAGGCAAGCCTAATGTGATGTCATGGACTGTGTTCTGGTAATTGAAGCTGTATGTCCTTAAACCCACCAACCAAATAAATAAATACAGCTACCGCCACTAACAAGCAACCCATACAAACACATACAGTGTCCTTTCATCTTTATAACCTTATGAAAAGCATAATATCCAGGTTTCTAAATTATGGTGAGTTGACTCAGGCCAGCAGCTAAGCACCCACGTGGCCATTTGTTCTCCCACCACCACCCAATGAAGGAGAAAATAGAAAGAGCAAAAGTGAGAGGATCCATGGCTTGACATAAAGACAGTTTAGTAAGTGAAGGAAGGAGGAAAAGAAAACAAGTGTTGCAAAGGCTGTCACTTACCACCTCCTGCGAGCAGATGGATGCCCAGTCAGTCTCTGAACAGTGACTACCTCTAGAGATTGCCTTTCACTCAAGCCTCTTCCTCTGCTCCAGTTTTTATTGCCAGGCATGGCATTACGTTGTATGGAATATTCCTTCGGCCAGTTCAGGTCAGCTGTCCTGGCTGTGTCCCTTCCTAATCTCTTGCCTGTCCTTAGGCTACTTACTGCAGGAGGCACAGTGGGAAAAGAAAAAGTTATGACATTGTGCAAGCACTGTTCAACAACAGCCAAAACTCTGGTGTGCTACCAACACTGTTTTACCCACAAATCTGAAATACAGCACCATATGGACTGTTAGGAAAAGAATTCCTTTCCAGCCAGGCCCAGTACATGTGTCAAACTCCATGGGTGTAAAGATGAAACTGTGCTGCTTAGCTGGCACGTTTTGCAAAATCTTTCAGACTCTCTAAATTCAGATTGAATTGGTGTCTTGGGATAATCTTAATTTTACAAGTTAGCTGTAAATGAATTTTCAATATGGATGCTTCTTCTATAGGTCTGTCAGCATAGATCTTCCCTATATTGTACCTGAATAGCAAACACATCAAAAACAACACAGCCAATAGTACCTGAGAATTAAATGTACATCACTGCATGAACTCCTCATGATGCAAAGTCGTGGCAGAAAAACATGCGTAACAAAGCGGGCAAGCTGTATTCAACATCAGTACTTTAAATTAGAATGATTATATTTGTGTGACCTTCTTACTGTGCTGTAAGGATCTTTACTTCGGTGTATTTATTGTGCAAGGTTGTTTTCTCAGTTTAGTGTGTAGAACCAAGCAGCTCTGACAGCTTATTTTATATCTAGGAAATATTTTCCATTGTATTTTCCTTTCTTTCTTGTTTTGATTGTAAAGTCATTCAAATGCATAATTAATTGTGCATTCCTAGTTACTGATTTTTAAAATTTAAGCTTGTTGGAACTTCTTTGTAGGTAGGTCTGTGAAGGAAGAGGAAGGAGACTTGGGGACTTCAGCATGGGCTAGACACCTGAATGAAACATCGAGGATTACGCCTCAGGTAAAGCAATACTTTAAACATTTTGAACCCCTTTTTATAGGAAAAGGAGATCCTGAAGTTGTAAGTGCAGAAAAATTGTGGACCAGTCTTTACTGCATATCTGAAAGCAGGTCCTTCTAGTCTGGTAATTGAGTGTTATTTTTGTCATGCCTTTTTCATTGTTGGTGTGTTTAGTTTATATTTCTTTTTTCTCTCCTCCTTCAAACTCTGTTCTGCCACAATGGCTCAGATTAAGATGCTCAGGGCACTATTTTGGAGAAAAAAACCCAAACAACAAAACCAAAAAAAAGCCCCTCTCCTTGATGAAAGAAGTGTGAGTTTACTTTCAGTTTAACTGGGGAAGCACTGTATTGTTTATTCATTGTTGTTCCCAACCAGAGCATCAGAACAAGTGGAACCTGTTGATAGTGTAGGTACTTGTTTAGGAAATTGGTACTGCCAAACTTAAAACAACCTTTCAACAGCCAGCAGGTAGGAATATTTTTGCTTTCTTGATGTCCAGGTGAAATCCAGCAAGAAGTATGTAAATGAAAGTTTGTGTGTCTTACCCTGAACTTTTTTAGTATTTCTAAAAGTTCTTCTATATTAGAAGCATTAGCACAATTAAATAGAACAATTAAAGTTGCAAAATAACACTGCTACTTTGCAGCTATATTTTAACTGTATGTTTTGTAGTGTTTTTTGGTAAGAATATCAAACTACATGATATCCTTACAGTTTCTGATTCCCAATTTAGCTTTTCTTCTCTCATAAGGTGAATATTGAAAACAACTTTCCTGTTTGCATAGTCAGTGGTTATGGTATGGCTTGCTGTACTGGCCAGTTTAATCAAGAGCAATTGCATTTGTTTTGATGACTGCAAATCAAAACCAGAAAGTAGAGAATTTGAGTATACTAGTATGTGTAATTAATCTATAGCATTGTTCATAAGTGCATATGGAAAAGCACAGAGATACCCTAGATTGTATTTTATCTTTAGGAGGTATCTAAAAGTTATATAGAAGAAATGATGGAATGATAAAGTCAGACACTGGTAGAACTAAAATACCTTTTCAAAGATACAGTAGTTTAATTAGAGAAAAGAGTAAACTTGTAGCCAGAAGGTTTTAACCTCCACTTTTTTCTTCTCCTCATTTCCATACTAGGATACAAATAAAACTCAAAAATATATCAAGAAAGATGGTGCATCAGAAGCTAATCATAAGGTTCAGGAAAACAGAAGTATAGTCCACAACAACAGCTTGAGTTTTCAGCATGGCAAGTATACACGAGACTCCGGTCTAATTCAAGAATGTCGGCTGAGTGATGGCAGCCTTAGCACTGACAGGCTGTATGGTGAAACATCCTTGTCTGTACCACTTCATCCAACAAAGAGGCCAGCATCAAACCCACCCCCTATCAGCAACCAGGCGACAAAAGGTAATTTTTATCTCTGTCCTGTTGCCAGACTGAGAAACAAACAGGGAAAGGAGCTTGTAGACCTCAAAAAGAGCTGTTAGAAAAAAAGACAGGTTTAGACCTTGAGGAAGGACACAAAATGGGCATCCTGTGGACACTCAAATTTTGGTATAGAATGTGTAAGACGGAATTAAGAGATATCTATATTGGGTGCGTGGCCAGATAAAACTTTCATAACTGCCATTGCACCACAGCAGGTGTACCTGTTATGTGTTCACTACAGGGAACAGAATCACAACTGTACTTTGAAACACTGGCCTCAGATTTGTTTATTGAAGTTTAAAAGATCTGACACTTCAAAAAATAGTCTGATCTTGCTACTTAGTTTTTAGTTTCTAGATTAATTACAATAATTTACTTTAAGGGAATAACTTCAGCAGAATTCAGGAAGATTCGTTTAAGTTCTTCCCTACCACATCTGCTGCCCTTCCCTAGACTGGAAACGTTCATGAATAATATAAACACATCGTGATAATTTAATTTCAGGTACAGTTTAAGAAAGACAATTCCTGGTTTTTTTACATTTCTGAATCCCTGTTTGTTTGCTCCTGAAAATTTTGTCTGTTTCAGCTTGAAAGCTGGGTTTCATCTTTGTTCTAAGGTGATAAAAATTTGTTCTGAAATTCCTGATTTCCTTTTTCAGGCAAACGTCCAAAGAAAGGAATGGCAACTGCTAAACAGCGCCTTGGGAAGATCTTGAAGCTGAACCGGAATGGCCATGCACGCTTCTTTGTTTAATGTAGCTGCTACTTCTACTACTGCTGTCTTTCCTACACAGACCAGTATTGAGGTCAACAGAGCCTGGAGCTGCTGTTATGCCTCTGCTTGAAGCAGACTTGCATGTACCATAGAAAACACTGCCTGATGAACAAAAATAAGAAAGGAAAAAAAGCAAAACACACACACAAAAAACCAACCCAATGCTGCATTTTCACTGTGCCACACCTGCTCAGCAATAAACCATATGGGAATGGGGAAATCTTCAGAGAGACATGGACTGTGAGAAATAGTCTCTCATCAGGGCTTGAATATCATTTGTTGCTGGTAGTTTCTGATCTATTAATGGGGGGAAGATGATGAAGGTGGTTTATCAATAATTTATTTCTGATAGATTTTTGACAACTTTTAAATTCATTTAAGAAACTATTTATTTGGAAGACTTTTTTTGTGGGGTTGTTAATTTAGATTTAAGAATGTGAAAGTTTTTAATTGTTTTGATAATGTATGTTTGGTGCAGTGGAGAGCCACATTAATTGTGATTAGTCTGGACTCCTAAATTTGATATTCAGGTTGTAGTCTTAAATAGGGGTGAGATTCATTATTAATTATTTTTAAATTAAAGCATATGGAATATTTTTTTTCCTGCTTTTTGTAAGCTATTGGCTGGGCTTCTTTTGACTTGCAAGTTGTGTATTCTCTGCCAGCTTGATTATTTTTTGACCTGTCCTCTTTAATACAGATTTATTTATTTGATGGACTAGAAGAGACTCCTAATGACAGAAGAATCTTCTGTCAATCCAGTAGCTAACTTGTGTTAAACTGCACCCCTTTCCTCCAAATTGGACTGCATACTTCTCCTCCTGATGATCTGTCTGTGATGATGTTCTTCTGTGAAAAGGCTTCCTGAAATTGTATGTGTACAGGTTATTTAGGAGTTGGTACAAAGGAGGAAAAACTAATGCATCTTTTTGGAGGAATGGGGGCATCAGTTAAGATAAATGTTTCTTCAGAACAATTACTCTCAAGTAACTCATAAGATACACATTGCAGTCTTAAGATTTGGTGTATTAATGTAGCATGGAAGAAGCATTAAAATATTGTACTTCAAACACATTTTACTGAAGAGTCAGGAAGGCAGGAAATCTGTTCCTTTCAAAGCTGGGCGAGACAGCCAGTTGAAAGTCTTAACTGGTGCATATATGAGCATTAAGTAGCTTACTGGTATCAGAATGATCATTTGTGTCAGGCTTCATACAGAGCTGATAGCAAATGCCAATTCTGAATTATTGTAAATAATTTTTATTTTAAATTTGTATTTTTCTGTAATATAATATTAAATATTTAACTTCTGGGGGATGGGGATGAAGGCGGAAAGGGGGAATACTTTTACTTGATTCTGGAAATAGGGCATTTGTGGGGTCCAGCCAAAATGTAAAGATTAATGTGTTAGTAACAACAATATTGTTGGTTGGAGTTTTTTTGCTTGCCAAGAGTAAAAATACTCAGGCGTAGCTATCAAAGTAATTGAATTCATTAACTTTTCTTACCAGTTTTTCCTTCCTCCATATTCTATGCTGGAATAGGTTTCTTTTCTTGTAATTTAAAAACAAATTCAGTTGGACTTTCCTGAATACTTGTGCAGTTTTTAATCTGAGCTAAATTATGAATGCTTTTACAAATATATGGAAATAGTTTTAATGTCAGGTGGTTTTGTTGCAGGGCCACTGCACTATGTTTCTAAATTGAGAAACATCAAAACTTAATGCAACTGCAAATAAGTCAGGTAGCTTTCATGGCTTTACTTCCTCTGGAACATTGCTCTGACTTTGTAGTTCTGTGTGTGTATGTCTGGGTGAATTTTTTTAACCTTGTTTTGTTTGCAGATTATCGGTTCACAAAAGCATGTTTTCAGATTTGGGTTTGATTGGTTTGTGGGTTGGTTTTTTTTGGTTTTAATTTAATGCAAGCTCTCAGCCTTCTTTAGCCTATGGGGAACACAAGTAGCAAAGGATTTCTAGAAAGTAGAAGATAGGCTTAGAGGTACTCTATAGGGGCTGAAAGTGACTGTTAAGTACTTACTGTTCTCAGGTGCTGTTGTCCAGATAGAAATAGACAAAAGAGAAAATTTTAACTATCTGCTAATATGTTCTCACCAAAGCAAGTCAAAGAAATAAACTGTGTATATACCCTCTGTGCTTAAGCTTGAGCAAATGGATTAATGCCTGCCAGGCTTTGGAAACTGTTTTAGCTTTAGCGTATTGAACCAAACTGTTTCGTTCTTTCTGGCTGTATAATTTTTCAGAGTAGAAAATTCCAGTTTAAGGCAGCAATCAGATTCAGAGCAGAATGGAGAATGAGCTTTCTCTCTTTCAAGGCAGATTTGTGAGAACGCTTAACTGAAATAGAAGTATGCCAGAATAGAATCTGGAGCAAGGAATTTTAAAATACGGAGTATGCTTTCTTGTACATGTGACTGGCTTACGCAGTGTCTCTAACCATCCACATTGTTTATCTGTATCTTACTTATTGGAACACAGATGTGGCTGGACCCATATATATTATTTCTTCTTGGGTTTATTCTTTCTTTACTTTCTACCTTTTGTGTTGTTTTTTTTTCTTTTTTTCCAAAGTGGCTCTCCACTGTCATCAGTTTATGTAATAGCCTTTTCGCAGGCTGTCAACGTGCAGAGGTTCATTCCCATTTTCTTCAGATATCAATGCTTCCAGTAGAAGTTAATTCTGATGTCCCACCTCAGAACAAGTAATTCAAAAGAAATTGCAATGATAAGCAGTGTTAAAAAAAAAAAAAGAAAAAAAAAAGGGGGGGGGAGGGAGGAGGAATAAAAAGAAAAAAAAATGGGGGGGAGGAGACAAGGGGAAGTCTCCTGGTAGCTCATGAAGAGGATGTGGTGACCTCACTTGTTTTGTGTACTTGTATGTAGGGATATTTTTATTGTGTTCTAGATGAAAACACTACTGCACCAATCTTTCTGTAGATGGACTGAACCTTGTGTTGTTGTAGTGGAGAGAAAAAGCCCTATTTTTTAACTTGCTGTCTCACTTGGGGTGGAAGAGAGAGGGAGTAGGGAACACTGACTGGACAACCAAGAGAATTAAGCCTGCTATGGTAACTCATTTGCAAGGATAATCTTTTTTGAAAAGTCAGAGAACTTGGATTTGGCATAAAACTTAATATCTTTTTTTATTTTGTAGACAGAACAGTGGGACATGAAATATCGTAGAGGTTTTCCCGTTCTCTTAAGTTCTCAAGTTCCTGCAATTGGAGAAAAAAAAACAAAATAGAACCAGGAAAATGGAAAGACCACCTAGAAAAAACTGTATCAAAGACTCTTCCAGCAACTTTCCCTTTTCTTCTCCTACTATACTTGCTAATAAACCCTGGCTACAAGGTAGCCTTTGTTGACCTCTGAGGTAGATTACCTATGCAACCTGTAATACTCCACATGAATCCATTCTTAAAGACAATTTTGAAAGGGTTAGATGTTGAGAGTTTAAATTACTGCATTCTGATCACATGGGAGATTTGGGGCCTTTCTTTTTTTGATAGTTGAAGTGCTTGTGTTACCTTTAGTAGACATGGAAGAGAGCACAGTGTCATGATCACATTTTAGATCCTTCAGCTTTCCCTAGGCTTTGCTATATGGCATAAGCTACCTTCATTCACAAGGCCATTAAGTTGTAGATGTTGAAGGTTTTTGCAGGGTTTCAGAGTTGGAGCTGTTGTGAACCTTGCTTTAGTAATTGTGGAGACTAAGAGAACCGAAGCTAGAACAACCCGCTACTACAAGCCTGTAACTAGTGCCCTGTTTAGGCTCCACATGCCCACCTATCCGTTCACACCCCAGCCGTGACCCCCAAGTCTAGTGTCTTTCCAGATTTTCATTCACGTGATACTTCCAGACCATTAAAAGCTGTTTCTAGCTCTGAGGTTGAGTGAGCCCAGAGCTATTCTTTTACAGAAGAAATGTAAATGGAACCAAGGGCCTTACTGTTTGTGGTTAAACAAGATTGAAAGCTGCAACATCCATTTTTCCAAAAAGAAAAAAAATATACCACAACAAAAAACACCGTAGTAACCCTCTTTGTGGGAGAGTATGAGTGAGAAATCACGCAGTGGATGGGAAATACAAGTAGCACTGATAAGGAAATGCATGTTCTTCATAGGCTGCATTTCTGTTTGGAAAAAAAGACTTTTTCTACTTTTAATATAAATTAAGCCATAAGAGTTTCATGCTGTGGGAAGGGAATGAAAGGGATCACTTTAAGAGATTATATTGATACGTATTGTCACTTCTGCTGGGAAATGTCTATTGCTGCCAATGCTTTGGTGAATCTTTTTTTTGTTTGTTTTTTAAAAAACCCATGGAATTTGAAAAAAAAAAAAGGGGGGGGGCTAGTTCTTGGCTGTATTACTAGTTTTGTAGTAAGGTTTTGCTGGCCCATTTGTCTTTTCCTCTCCTTTTTCTACTCTTGTAGCCTAATTTCTATCGTTCCTTCTAATGTCTCTGAAAATACTAGCTTGTCTGTCACTAGGGGTCGGTGTATGTGTGTCTTCCTTTTTACAGAAACGCACTACTGTGTTAAGTATTTGGCTGGGAAATGGGATGCTGCAGCTTTAAGAGCAATTTTTTCAATTCATAACAGTATTTCCCATCCTCTTTTGCCTGCAGGCAGGGAAAGTGTATGTACAGTATTTATTTTGTTTCGATTTTACTTTAAATTTGTAAGTTTCTATAAGTAGTTCACATTGATTATTCTAGAGGAGGACAAGTGGCTTTGTTTAAATTTGTATTTGATATTCATAGTTTCCACTTTCTGTACTTTAAAATACTGAAATTAAAAAATTGTATTGCTTATGTTTTGATTTTAGCACTCTAAAGTGTTTAATTTCTTCAGGCTTCTGCTTATTTGCTTCAGTGTAAATACAGAAAACTGTACAGAATATCTTGAAGAGAAAAATGCTTTTCTAGGTCCAACCTCTGTGCCCTTTACTTGTCGCATTTTAAAGAAGAAATTTTCTGGAGAAATGTGAGAGGGAATATTCTGATACTGTTGTTTGGATTTTTTTTTAATTATTTTTTCAAAGTGCAAATCTCATTTCGATGCAAGTATATTATGTGGCAACTAAATGCATTTTGTGAAGATGTGTATATTCTTTTTTGAATCCTAATATAAAAGGGAGGTGGAAATGTTTGTTATCTGTCATGTTAGCAGATCTAGAACTGTAACAAGGGTGTCAAATTGTATTCTCATGTTCTTGCTCTTGGCTTTTGTTCAGGTTTTTCTCATGCTACTGATGACTGCCTCATCTTTTGATGTGTGCAGTTACATGTGTACAGTTTCTGGAAGAAGAGATTTCTCTTTCACACTTCCATGTACTTTGTCATACTTGCTTTTATCCTGGGTGACTTCTCTGCTGGTATCTCCCAGCACATGTCATCTTCTAGTTTACAGTTGTGAGTGCTCCCTGTTTCAGCTGCATATGGCCAACACACAGTACTGTTTGCATGTGGGTACTGTGCTTAGGAGTAATGGAAGCATGATTGTGTTGCACTCCAACTTTGTGCAGTGCATTTTCTTCTGCAAACAGTGCTCCATGCTACTGAACTGCTTCAGTGTTGTGATGGGCAGATGCTTATATTTCTGTGCTGGTCATTTTATGAGAGCCTTAGATAAATAATGCAGCAGTTGCTTTGGAAGAACCAGGTGGCAGAAAGTGTTTGATTTGAGCGTCTTTTGAGGCTGCTCAAGTTTACTTCTTAGCTTGGCTTTTAGCTTACTTAGGACATATTGTTGACTGTAATGACTAGGAAATCTTTTCGTGGACCAGGACTTCATTGTGCCAGGTGCTTTACATACAAAGAACAAGAATGCTGACCTCAGCAAACTGCTTAAGCATAAGATTAAAATAGTCTAAAAACACCCAATGATCTAAAACCGCAGAACTTACAAACCAGTAAGTTCTGTGGCCTAAAGTTTAAAACACAGTGGTGGTGTAGATTTTGGAGGCTGAAACTTCTGTGCTGTTTCAAAAAGAAATTTCAATTGAGTGGAATAAGAAATTGTGAGGAAAAATTATGATGTAAGTGCAGAGGATGAAGTTTCAATATTGTCCAGAAAGGAGTTCCTGCTGTATTTTGACATACCTTTGCATCTTTTCAATTAATCTGTTAAAACTGATCTTGAATTTGGTTAGCCAAAGATTTGCCAAAGATCTGAAAGACCTGCTTGTCTGCCAGAGCAACCACCCATTTTGAGAAAGTCTTGATCGCTGATTGAGAGCAATGCCGTAACCTATGCATTTCCATCAGACACTCATCTGGATTTGATACACTGAACTCACTGCTCATAATAATGCTTTGGTCTTAAAATAAAGTGATAGACTTAAGAGAGTGCCTCACTGGGCCACCAGTACAAGTTCCAGACCCATATAAAAACCTGTGTAAGCACCTTTACTCTTTGTCCTTTTGTTTTTGCCAGCTACATCCACAGCTTTTCTCTGTGACTGCTGTGTGGTGGGTAATAGGTAGGATAAATCCACTGGTAAATATGTGAAATGTCTCAAAGTGCTGCTTTAAATGCTACTGGGTGGCCTTCAGCACCTGGAGCTGTATTTCCTTTAGAAGTCAAGAGTTTCTGGTTTTTTTGCTTTTCTGGTTGGGGAGAGTGGGGGAATACTAACCTGGGTTATTCTTCCCTAATGGACAGATGGATTTTAAAGGGTTCAAGGCTACCAAATACGGCAAAAGAATTAAATTTCCAAAGTCAGGGAGTGTGCAAGATGCCCTTCTTGGTATCTGAAGACTAACGTTGGTTTTGGTTTTCTTTTTACTGGATCGTATTCTACTGCGTTTGAAGTAGAGTACCCCTTGTAAAGTGCCTACAAACTTGGTTTTGTGTACATTTCATGAAATTCAGCTGTTTCTCCATAGGGCTTGTCATGACCTGCTTAAGTTGTGAAGCTGTTGTGGTGGTGGCTCATTAGTTAACATGTTCAGCCAAACCTTTTCTTGTTTGCTTTGTTTAGATATAACCTTGGATTGATGGTGGAAACCTGAGTAGTAGAATGAATATGATAGAGTCAAACATGCTGAGTGTTGGTTTCTGTAGGAATATTTTTTTCATTGTATAGAAGTATTTCTCCTGGGAGCCCTTGAAATTACGTTTTTACTGCTGGTAAGTAATGTCAGTTGTCTCAAGCCAAAAGTTAATGAGAACTGAAGCTGTAAAACCAGAATGTTGTTAACTCTGATACAACCAGGGATTTCAAATGCCTTTATTTCTACAGAGGTCAATGACTGAAGTCTTTACCTGCGAAAGGAATAGCTGATGTTCAAGACAATAAATACAAGTCTGTCATTGCCAGAGCTCATAATATTCTACCTAGCAGCCGGCTAATAGGACAGTTTGCTTTGTCTAGACTAAGGTCTGATTCCTCTGAAGCCAATTACATTCAGTCTTTAGAATAAGTACTGCAAGTTTTGAAGAACTGTGTTTGGCTTAATAGATCTATTTATCTGTACTGCTCCTGCTGTATTTGCTTTGGTCTTGGAAAAAGTACTCTTCTTTGGAACATACAAGTCAACTAAAAACCAGTATGCAAAGAGTCTGCTTGTTTGTGATACTTTGCCCCACAGCTTGTTTCTCGTAAGAAAAGTTGTATTTGCTTCAAGGAGTATAAGTACATTTTCCACTTGGGTTTATCTGGAAGAAACATTTGCCAGTGAATCGTACACTTTGGTGGTAAGTCATAAAGGTGCAAGTTGGCTTTCTGTTCTGGTAGAACTAGAAGCCAACAAAACTTGAGAAACTGCTACTCTGGTCTCCTAAAATAGGGTCTGGGCTGTGTAAATGTGGTTCAGATAGGCAGCATTTTTCAGGCTAGTATTAATTTGAAAAAGATACTATATCATGTGCTTTATTCTTAAGTTGTTGATTTCTAATTTTAGAGGCTTTCTTTTTTTACAAAAGATCTTTGAATGGAACCATTACAGGTATGGCCCAGTAAGGATTTTTCTGTGCTTGACCAGCACTCGTAGAAATTGTTTTGAATTCCATCATGTGATGATTACTGAAAAGAGCTCTTCCCATGTGGTTAAGTGTTTTTCCTCAAGAGGCAGCTGACCTCTGTGTTCACACCGAGTTACACCTCTTAAAAAAGGAGAGCGTTCAGAGAGTATATTTACCATGCCAACTGCTCTAAAAGTGGTGCCGGAACAGGGTGGCTCAGATTGAGGTTAGCATTCTGAGAAACCCTTTTGCTTCTAAGTGGATCCATATTCAGCCCAAGTCCACTGGGAGTGGGGAGAAGGGAAGTCTGTGGGCTGTGCAGCGCGTTCCCGCAAGAGGAGTTGATCATATTCTGGACATTGCTGGACAGCTGTGCCTGTCATAAAACTAAGCACCACAAGTGATGCTGAATTGCTGTAGTCTTGGGTGAGAGACCAAGCATAAAATGGAACATGGCATCTGCAGCAGCCCAGAGAAAAGGTGTTGGTGAGATGCTTTGTGAAAACCCACTCTATAGCTTATGTCTTTTGTGGCCACATGAAGTGATTCTAGGCACTGGTTCTGCTGATCCGTTTTGTTCAATATTTATAGGATTTCACTTGAAGGCGGAGTTCAATTTGTACAGAAAGCAGAGATTTCATGTTCTACATCCCCCAGTTACCCTGTGAGTGAGGTTTGTAAGGAGAAGTGATAGGCATTAGACCAACTGACATATTTGGAGAGTGGGAAATGAGTGTAATGTTTAACTCTTGTGGGTTAGATGAAAGACATTTTCTCTCCACACAAACCTGGTTTTGCTTCAGTAGTCCCAATACAGGGCCACTGCTCTGAGCTGATAGCTTACAGACTGTTTTCAGTCGTGTTGCTGTTAGTAACTTTCTTATTTTAAAGTGCATTTTAAATAGCACTTTACTATAGTAATTAAGGAGAAAAATGATGTCATTTGGGTAGATTGAATCCCTAATAAGAGATAGTGTCTAAAAGGAGGTGTCAGCTACCAAAATCCAGTAATATTAGTATTTTTGTCACAACTGTGATTAAAGGAATGTCTTCACTAATCCTTTTACTACATGTTAATTGACAACAAAATAGTGCTGTCAACGCTCTTAAAAAGCTGTAAATTTCTTTCCACTTGGTTTGGACATTGGGAGAGTTCTGAGTATTTTCTGCACTGATGCTAGCTCACTATCTTTTACAGTTCAGGGCTTTAAGGAAAAAAATTAGTACTATTTTGTGCCAGACTGTTCTGGTCCAGTGAAAATGACTTTAAAAGACTGGGAACAACACAAAAGAAATCCCTGATCTGTTAAACATTCTGTAGAGTCTCTATCTCCAGTCATTAGCTGAAGCACTAAAGCACAAGTTATAACTTGAGATCTTCAAGATGCTGTGTTGATGAATCAGATCAAAATACACATAGTGGTAGAGAATAGAAGGGAAATAGTGTACAAAATGGGGTAATTTTTCTTAATTGGCTGCAGAAAGCTAGGTTTTTCACTGTTTCACCTGCATACACTGAATAGAGTTAATACCTGAAGTACTTAGACTGTCAGGTGATGGAAATGCCTGCAAATAATAGGGCTAAAATAGGGATGGTCTCTAGTTAGAAGCACCAGTTTTCTTTTTATAGGGACGAATGTGCTTAGGTTTGCACACATTGGCAACAATTCTACCCTTAATTTCTAATCAGGTTAGTGGCTCAATGTGCATACACTGATTTTAATGGGATCTGAATGCCTCAGCTGATGTAGTGACATGCCTTTATATATAGCTATGCTTCTAAGGGTTTTTGCTTTTTTGGGGCTCCTTGGTCAAGTCTTCCAGTGATTCAGAACTCCCAGTGTTCTCCTGGAAAGAAG